GTGACCTCCTGGGAGTGGGGGACCACCAGGTTGCCTAAGGAGGGATGAACCGGCCCAGGTCTGAAACGGAGCAGGTCAAAACTCCCATGCTGATCAGTAGTGGGATCGCGCCTGTGAATAGCCACTTCACTCCAGCCTGGGCAACATAGCGAAACATCTTCTCTTATTTATTTATTCATTAAAAAAAAATCTTAAGAAGCAAGGAGGAAAGATTTGGTGCCCAGTCAGCCACCTTGAAGCTAGAGGCATCTGTCATGGTCTTTTTCTCTTTTTTCTTGAGACAGGGTCTGGCTCTGTTGACCAGGCTGGAGTGCAGTGGCACGATCTCGGCTCACTGCAACCTCTGCCTTCCGGGTTCAAGCGATTCTCCTGCCTCAGCCTCAGTTACCTGGCCACCACATCCGGCTAATTTTTGTGTTTTTAGTAGAGATGGAGTTTCATCATGTTGGCCAGCCTAGTCTCAAACTCCTGGCCTCAAGTGATCCGCCCTCCTTGGCCTTCTAAAGTGCTGGGATTACAAGTGTGAATCACCACACCTGGCCACTCATGGTCTTTTAGTAGGAATATATTTCAGGGAAACTCTTTACGTAGTAACAGAATTGGACTTTTAAAGTTAGATAATTAGGCCGGGCGCGGTGGCTCAAGCCTGTAATCCCAGCACTTTGGGAGGCCGAGGCAGGTGGATCACGAGGTCAAGAGATCGAGACCATCCCGGTCAACATGGTGAAACCCCGTCTCTACTAAAAATACAAAAAAAATTAGCTGGGCATGGTGGCGCGTGCCTGTAATCCCAGCTACTCAGGAGGCTGAGACAGGAGAATTGCCTGAACCCAGAAGGCGGAGGTTGCGGTGAGCCGAGATCGCGCCATTGCATTCCAGCCTGGGTAACAAGAGCAAAACTCCGTCTCAAAAACAAAAACAAAAACAAACAAACAAACAAAAGTTAGATAATTGCGTGAGAGTCTCAACTGGTCCTCTGTCCAGTCATGAGATCTTGGACACATCATGTAAATTATCTAAGCATTAATTAACTTATGCATAAAATGGATGTAATCATGTTACCATAGACACTAGGGTTTTAGGGCTGGCAGAAGTAATAAAGGGAGGGCTTTATTAATAACCTCTCTTTATCTCACTAATCATTGCTAATTTCTGTTGTTTCCTAGGTGTCTCAAAACTAAACTCACGCCACTGGCAGTCATTCATGGAGCAAATAGTATGTGTCTGGCAATGTTCAAGTGCTGAGAAAAATATAAGGCATAAAACACAGTTACAAAACATAGCTGTCGGACAGAGCACCCACTTTCCAGGAGTTGACAGTTGTAAAGAGGAGACAATAAACGCAATGACCTTGCAGTGTGATGGGGGCTAGCACAGCAGTGTAGGCAGGTGTTGTGGGTATTACAGGGGAGGAAGCCGGCCTGGAGTGTCAGACTCAGAGGACCTGGGTAGAGCAGGAGTTCATAATCTCAGCATTATGTAAGTACTTGATGTTTCAGGCCAGATAGCTCTTTGTTGTGGAGGTTGTCCTGTGAATTGTAGGATGTTTAGCAACATTTTTAGCCTCTACCCACTAGATGCCTGTAACACCAACACCTCCCTGATTGTAACAACCCCAAAATATATCCAGACATTGCCACATGTCCTGAGGGAAGAGGGTTCACTTGAGAACTGATGTGTAGAAGATAGCTGAGACATCATTCAGAGTTGGATCTCCCAGAGGCATCTTTATTTGGCAGAATGGCAGATTAGTCTTTTTCTTTTTCTCTTTCTTTCTCTCTCTTTCTGAGACGAAGTCTCAGATGGAGTGCAGTGGTGTGATCTCAGCTCACTGAAACCTCCGCCTCCTGGATTTCACCATGTTGGCCAGGCTGGTCTCGAACTTCTGACCTTAGGTGATCTGCCTGCCTTGGCCTCCCAAAGCACTGAGATTACAGGCATGAGCCATGGTGCCCAGCCAGTTTTTCTTAAAGACAGGATTTAACTCTGTTGCCCAGGCTAGAGTGCAGTGGCAAGATCATCATAGCTCACTGTAACCTGGAGCTCCTGGGCTCAAGTGATCCTCCTGCCTCAGCCTTCCAAGTAGCTGGGACTATTCACGCTACCAGGCCTGGCTAATTTTTTAAAATTTTTGTAGAGACAGAGCCTCAATATATTGCCGAGATTGTTCTTAAACTCCTGACCTCAAGCAATTCTTTTGCCTCAGCCTCCTAAAGTGCTTGGATTAGAGGTGTGAGCCCACACATGGCCCAAATTAATTTTTTGGCTGGGCGTGGTGGCTCATGCCTGTAATGGGAGGATGAGGAGGGTGGATTGCCTGAGCTCAGGAGTTTGCAATCAGCCTGGGCAACACAGCGAAACTCCGTTTATACTAAAATACAAAAAATTAGCCAGGCATTGCAGTGTACGCCTGTAATCCCAGCTACTTGGGAGGCTGAGGCAGAAAAATCAGTTGAATCCAGGAGGTGGAAGCTGCAGTGAGCTGAGATCCCACCACTGCACTCCAGCCTGGGTGACAGAGTGAGATTCTGTCTCAAAAAAAAAATACTAGTTTTTTGTTTATATTAATATAATTGGTTCCTTAGTTATTTTAATGTGTTAGAACATACTAATTTTAATTTCAAGGTACAGATACAATTCTTTAAATATATTTAGGCAGTAGTGATACTTGCAGAAAATAGTGAATGAAAGAAAATAAAAACAATAGCATTCCACCACATACAAGTCCTAACAATTTTCTAACCGTCATGCTGTTTCACTCTCCACCGCAAACTCAGCCTCCTTTTGTACTTGTTTGGATTAGGACCTGGAGAGGGCAGAGTTTGGGGCAGGGCGCAGGCAGTGCAGTTCAAGCCAAACCTCCCCTCCAGGGCAGGGCCCCCTACTCCTGCTTAGAAATACCCAGCATTTGAAAGAGAATGTTCCCCTTCTTCTCCTTAGGCTTGATCTCTCCTTGGGTTTCAGGCAAAGAACTTCAAGACTGAAGCAGTCTTAGAAATTTTCCTTAGGCTGCATTGCCCTTTATTTCTGAAACAAAATTATGCTTGATGCCCAAGAACATAGAAGGTGACAGTGAAGGGAAGAGGTGAGTGCAGTTGATTTTACCAGACAGTCAGCGGAGCTAAGAGCCTGAGCTGGGAAGCTCACTGCAATCTCTGCCTAGAAGTCCGCTGTCACAGGGCCTGGGGATCTAAATTTTAGTTTATTATGTATTTATTTTTGAGACACAGTCTCACTCTGTCACACAGGCTGGAATGCAGCAGCGTGACCTAGGCTCACCACCTCCTGGGTTCAAGTGATTCTCCTGCCTCAGCCTCCCAAGTAGCTGGAATTATAGGCGCCCACTGCCACACCCTGCCTCGGCCTCACAAAGTAAAGTGTTGGGATTACAGGCATGAGCCACTGTGCCCAGCCAAACACTTACATATTGGGATGCTTTTGTAGAAGCCAGAGGTGTTGTAAGAAATACAACCTTGAGACAGCCATGCTGTGAGAACATCAAAGCTAGCTAGGGAGCAAGGCTACCTGAAGAAGCAATGAGGTGCTAAATATGTGAGTGAAATTTCTTGGGTCTTCCAGACCACCTACCAGACACCAGCTAAATGCAGCAATGTAACTCTGATTTCCTGTGGAACAGAAGAACCACCCAGCCAAAGTCTTTCAGAATTCCTAGTTCACAGAACCGGAGGAAATAATGAATCACTGTTTTTTTTTTTGAGATGGAGTTTCACTCTTGTTACCCAGGCTTCAGTGCAATGGCAAGATCTCCGCTCACGGCAACCTCTGCCTCCTGGGTTCAGGCAATTCTTCTGCCTCAACCTCCTGAGTAGCTGGGATTACAGGCACACGCCACCATGGCCAGCTAATTTTTTGTATTTTTAGTAGAGATAGGGTTTCACCATGTTGACCAGTATGGTCTCGATCTCTTGACCTCTTGATCCACCTGCCTCGGCCTCCCACAGTGTTGGGATTACAGGCGTGAGCCACGGCACCCAGCAGAAATCATTGTTTTAAGTTCCAACATGATGAAGTGATTTTTTTTTTTTTTTTGAGACGGAGTTTCGCTCTTGTTACCCAGGCTGGAGTGCAATGGCGCGATCTCGGCTCACCGCAACCTCCGCCTCCTGGGCTCAGGCAATTCTCCTGCCTCAGCCTCCCGAGTAGCTGGGATTACAGGCACGCGCCACCATGCCCAGCTAATTTTTTTTTTTGTATTTTTAGTAGAGACAGGGTTTCACCATGTTGACCAGGATGGTCTCGATCTCTTGACCTCTTGATCCATCTGCCTCGGCCTCCCACAGTGCTGGGATTACAGGCTTGAGCCACGGCACCCAGCATAAATCATTGTTTTAAGTTCCAACATGATGAAGTGATTTTTATACAACAATCGATAAGCAAACACAGGGCTTTTAAGAGAAAAGAAAGAAAGAAAACTGCATTCTGGGGATAGTAAATTTCGTATGCTTTTGGCGTAACCTGATTAGCTGTCAATTAGCAAAAAGGTCAGTCTAGGAATTCTGTACTTCAGTAGGTTTTCTAGGGATATCAAAGAAGACATTTTAGTTGTTTATTCTTTTTTTTTTTTTTTTTTTTTGAGATGGAGTTTCGCTCTTGTTACCCAGGCTGGAGTGCAATGGCGCGATCTCGGCTTACCGCAACCTCCGCCTCCTGGGTTCAAGCAATTCTCCTGCCTCAGCCTCCTGAGTAGCTGGGATTACAGGCACGTGCCACCATGCCCAGCTAATTTTTGTATTTTTAGTAGAGGCAGGGTTTCACCATGTTGACCAGGATGGTCTCGATCTCTCGACCTCGTGATCCACCCGCCTCGGCCTCCCAAAGTGCTGGGATTACAGCGCCCGGCCCTTAAAAGTCTGATGCTCTACCGACTGAGCTATCCAGGCTCCCCGCTGTTTATTCTTAAGAAAACTCTGGGACTTTACCTACGAAATATCCTTGCAAAATGTGTCAGTGTCCCTTGTTAAAACCTTTGACCTTGTTAGTTCAGGTTTGTGCCATTTCCTTTATTAGAATTTTATTAAAGACAACTTTGAGATTGGGAAAAGACCTGAGTCTTTTCTGACTCTGAGTGGGCCTAGAGGGTATGAACACTCTCCAGTGCCCCATATTCTCCTCCTTGTTTGAAGATGACAGCAGTGACATTATTCTCTCCAGCTCTTCAGTCAGTAGTCATGGCTACCTAAACATGGAATGTCCTAAGGTGGCTCAGGTCATTGATAGGGAACTGGGGCCATGACCTTGGAAATGTGAGCTGCTGAGTGGGGCCAAGTGGTCTATGGAAATTAGGATCTCCCTGCATGGTGGGATTACAAAGGCAACCAAGAAACACAAACAGAAACAGAAGAAAATGGAACTAAGACTTGAGATACCCACAGAACAGAATCATGGAACGTAAAACAAGTAAACTATATTTGGGAGCTGGGGTGAATCCATCACTGGTGACTGGAACCTTGAGTCGGCATTTTCTCCTCAGGAAGGTGGGCTGGAATGGAGTGGGCTGTGTTTGGCAAGGGCTGTAGTGGTTTAGAATCTGGGTAAATGAGCAGAATCAGAGGTGCAGAATCAGTTTTCTGACTGTGGTACCTCTCACACCAACACAGGACCTGTGCATGTGTCCTCTTCACTCTGTGTTTCCCATAGTCCCTGTCTTCTGGGGTGTCCTCCATTTTCTCCCTCACCTCTCACCTGCCTGGTTCCCCAGCTGGGCCTCAGGCCTGTCTCCCCAGAGTAAATGCCCAGGATCATTGAGGAAGCGTTGGCTGCGCTGGCATGTGAGGCAGGTCTGTACTGTCCAGCGCTGTCCCCTGCAGCCTAGGGTGGGCATGGGAAAAAGAGTGTCCAGGTTCAGAAGTAATGGTCTCTTGCTGCCAGTTCTGCCTCCAGTGTTTTTCAGTAGGTATCCCCGCTCCCCCACCACACCCCCAATTTAAAGGAACGTTTGGTGGTGTCAGGCCCCTGTATAAGCTCCTTCAATTTCTTGGAACTCTTTAAGATAAAGTCCAAACTCCCTAACAAGGCTTCAAGAAGTGGCCCGTTTCCTTCTCCAGCCTCATGTCTTGCCCTCCTACCTCAAACTCCGGCCCCCTAAACTCTCATTTCCTTGACAGCACCACAAGCTCTTGTCAGGCCTCCATGTGCAAGCCTGGACCCAGAAAGTCTGAAGTCCTGCCTGCCTCGGCTGATCGTCCTCCATCCTCTGCCTGCGTTCGCCATTATCACTAACTTGGAGCTTCCCCTGGATATTAAGCTTCTCTTCTCACCCTGCCATCTTAACTGTTATTATGATAGTGTGAATACTCCTCGCCCCACCCTGCCACCTTAACTGTTCTTGCTCTAATATCCCTCCGCCCCACCCTACCACCTTAACTACTCTAACGCCTTCCCCACCCGCCATTGTAACTGAATTGATGATAATGTATACTCCTTGCTCCTACCCCCACCACTGTAACCGATCCGTAACATCCCTGCCTCCTTCCCAAAAAATTTGTCCCAACCTATAAAACCAACTCCTAACCCACCACCCTTTGCTGACGCCCTTTTTGGGCTCAGCCCACCTGCACCCGGGTGGATAAACAGCCATGTTGTGGGGGGTATCTTCATTCAAAGCGCATGTTTTAACAGCTCTCTTGTCTCAGAGTCCTAACACATGCCAAGAATTTCCATCTCGCACTCCCTTTGCTATCATGAACTTTACCACCACTGGCATGAGTAAGTGAGCATTTTACTCCCCCAATTAAAGTCTTTTTCTACAATTAGAATTTCAAGGAGAATAATGAATCTAGCACAGTACCTGACACATTTTAGAAAATAAATATTTGCTTAATCAATGAACGGTGATGGGACTCATGTCCTCCGCAAAGCCAAATAACATCTATTATTGTGCATGGGTGAGGTTGCCTCTTAAAGTAACAACTATTCTCTACTGCCCACGCTGGAAAAACAAAACAAAACAAAACAAAACAAAAAAAAAACCCCAAGCCCAAACCCTAGTTTGTGCAATGGAGTTAGCAACTTAATCTAAACCTGAAGAAGGAAGACTCCTGCGAGTTCCACACCCAACATCCACTTAGAGGGAGGAAGGCGCTGTTGGCCTCCAGTGCCCCCGCCCCAGCCCACCCACAATGCTCCGCAATCGTCCACCTCGGCAGAAGCACTCACGTCTCTGGCGCTGGGTGCAGGTGAGGCCGGGGACGAGGAGGGAAGAACATCCTCGACACAGAGTCCTCTTCACCGAAGGGTCCCTGGGGGCGGAAGAGGGCAGTGGTCCCGCGCCCGCGCTCCCTCTCGCGTTCCTCTCGCCCGCCACCCGTCCCATGGCTCTCACCGCCGCAAGACGAGCCGCTTCGCGATGGTCTTCTCCGTGTGGCAGTAAAATCTTGCCAGCGCCTGGTTCTCGGGGTCCTGGGCAAGGACACAATGGGCGGCCTGCGGGAGGGGCGCGGTCATTCTGGGGCTTGCGCGCGGAGCATCGGCCCGTGGGGCCCTTGTCGCAGACTCACCTGGTACAGGAAGCTGAGCCTCTGGAAGGCCTCGCGGTCCTTCACCGGCCCCGCCATCAGCGCCGCGCTCCGGGGCCGCCCGCAGCCCCGCCCCTCGCACAGCCCCGCCCGGGCGTCCGCGCGAGGCCTCTTGGGAAGCGTAGTCCCCGCGCCTTCAGGCGCCTTCCCGCAGGCCTCACAGATTCATCTGTGCCAAAACCAATCCCCAGCAATCCATGCCCAGGGTCCCTTTTTAAGTTTTCAGTGTTTGTATCTTCCTCAATTTCATGACCAGTCATATTACCTAGGGACCTAGTGGAGCAGGTGAGGATCTTAAATCGGCTAGACATTTTCAGGACCGAAGCCTGGTCTCTTTATGCAGATAGGTTGGGGAGATGGTTATGTGCAATTTATACACAGCTAGAGCTTCTGCCCTACTCTCCTGAAGTCAGAGGCAGATGCCTGTAAGATCTACAGAGGGAAGGCACAGAGGTACTACATTAAAAAAAAAAAAATCACTGGTGCCAGCGGGGGTGAAAGTGAGAAGGATCACGAGGGTGCTGGAGAGAGGCAAAAGGACTCTCGGTCCTCATAAAGCACAGCTTGCTCCCACTTTTCCACTTACCAAAGAGATCAGTTCCTGTTATGCAGAGCTGGACACACAGTAGGTGATCCTCACTTTGAGTGAATGGTTTCTAACTCCTAGGCTTTGGTACGGCACAGAAATCTGTCAACAGCATCCCCCGCCCCTGAAACTTCACCCCCCTCTCCACGCTGACATTCACCTCGCACCCCTCCCTCTGACCTCTTCTGTCTTCCATTTCTTCTGTTTGGTGTCCTGTGACTCATAGTGACTATCAGTTACTGAGGTCAAAAGCAGATGGATGTGAGCTGGAAGGGTAGAAGATGAATGAACCCTGAGATGGGGAGGCAGCATTAGTCTGGAGAGGGTGAGACTTCTCTTCCCTCTCAGACCTGCTGCCAGGCAGGAGCAGAAAAGCAGGGCTCCAGCTGGGAGGAAAGGCATGGCTGAAACCTCTGGAGCTAGTTTCACAGGGATCCTCAGACTCAAAGGAGAGAAGTGTGTTTAAAATGTAGATGGAGGCCAGGCACAGTGGCTCACACCTGTAATCCCAGCACTTTGGGAGGCTGGGGCAGGCAGATCACTTGAGTTCAGGAGTTCGAGAGCAGCCTGGCCAACATGGCAAAACCCCATCGCTACTAAAAATACAAAAATTGGCCGGGTGTGGTGGTGCATGCCTATAGTCCCAGCTAACTCGGGAGGCTGAGACAGGAGAATGGCTTGAACCCAGGAGGCAGGGGTTGCAGTGAGCCGAGATCATGCCACTGCACTCCAGCCTGGGCAACAGAGTGAGACTCTGTCTCAAAAATAAATAAAATAAAATGTAGTTGCCAAGGCCCACCCCAGACCTTGACTGATCACTAAGGGTGAGACCCAGGAACATGCATGTGTAACACCCAGTGATTCTTACACATCAGTACAAGGCTATCACCAAATTACCACACAACACAGAGATCACTTCAGTGGATCCTTTGTTCCATATTATTTTAACCAACCAAAGTATCTTGCCACAAAGAACCACAATCAAGGCACAAAGGTAAGAGGAGGAGAGTCTGGACAATGTCCTGTTGAGGTGGTAGGAGGAACTGAAATGCCCTCAATAAACTGCAGATTCTTCTCTCAGTCATTTCTGTGAAGATTACCCAAACAGCAGATAATCCAAATTAGTTTAGTTTGGTTTGGCATGCATCACTTTTACCTTTTATGACAACATATGTACCCTATAAGTTGTTTATTTTGGCCTAACATGAAAATCATTTACATTCTCTGGAAAGGGAAATGGCAAAGGGTGAGGGATGGCAACAAACAGGCAAAAGCCTGGCTTTTGTAAACAGCAGTTCCAGGACAGATGCACACGGGCCAAAGAAAGTTGCCTATTTGGCCATTCCCTGTACACCACCCTCTTCTACCCTGCCCTTAGGGTGAGGAAGACTCTATTACCTTTCTTCCTTTCTGGCTTGGACACCTTGGCCAGGTAACAAGGCTGACAATTTGGGAGCAGCTACTTCATAACATTCTTTACGGCCAGGGCTTTGGATACAAATACTCTTTCCTCTAATACCTGACTCTCCTTTCCAATTTCCCTTGAAAACTGTGAAAGGATAGATATGTCTTGCAGGATCTCTTCTACCTTGGCTCTAGAGAGGAGCGAGGTGACTGACTTCTTGGTGTAAAGAGGCAGGCAATCAGCCAACTCTGCTGAAGGCTGAGGCAGGGACCTGGGTTCTCCTCTGCTTTCTTTTCAGCCTCTGCTTTCCACATTCCTACCCCTGGCCAATACTACCCATAATGGCAATCTTACCCTTGGAATGGAAGACCAAAGAAACCTCTCTCCCCTTCATTAATCTCTAGGAACTTGTTCCTTTAACCCATTTCCCTGACCTTCCTTCTAACCTTGTTGATGTCCAACATCTGCCCTCAGAAAAACTCCTCAACGTTAAGACCCATGAGAGCATCTGTCATTCATCTTTCTTTAATTTAGAGGTACACAGACTCCTGTGATCTACCTCAAGAAGCAAGACTATCCTGGGTCAAAGAACCCCCTAAAAGATGTGCAGGGGTTTCTGTTTCCTCCTCTGGTTTGAGAAAGTCAGACCCTCACAGATTTTTTTTTGTTTCTGGAAAAGCCTCTCCTTCCTTCCCAACCCGTCCTTGTGCAACAGAAAACCTGATGGACTTCAGGGCAGATAATCCTCTGGGAACCAGCTCCTTGCCCTGACAGGAGGGAGACACAGCTGTGCTCTCTCATCCAGCCCAGTCCTGCCTCCCCTTCCACACGAAACCATCCTAGAAACTGAGGTGTTTCTCCAAGATGATTCAGGACTGGAACCAGGTGGACACGAAGACGTTCCAGCAGGACACAGGAAGGAGGCCCGTAGCACTTGACCCTGCCTCACCCCAGTTATTCCCACATCCCAACCTGTCACTCCCAATCTGTTGGGGGTCTGATGGTAAGTGGTGCAGCATTCTTCCGTCCAGCCCGGATGCCCGGGTAGAAGAGGGGCCAAAGTTTCTCAGTAAAAGTATCAGTGAAGGTGTAGATATGAGAGCGGTCTGTGACATTGTAGAAAGACAGTGTGCCGGCCTCATAGTCTAGGAATATGCCTACCCGCTTGGGTTTCACCTTGATGTGCAAAGGGGTAAAAGGTGTGGTGGTGGCCGCGTATTTGTCCCCATTCCATAACCGCACCCGCCAGTAACCAGTCTCAGGGAGTGGAGTCAACTCGCCCTTTCGGCTCACGGAGTCCCGGCACACACCCACTGCCCAGTGGGTCTTGTCGCCCACCTCCACCTCCCAGTAGTGTCGACCTGAGGTGAAACCCTCAGTAGCCAGGACGCAAGGGTAGAAGGTGAAACGCCTTGGTGTATCAGGAAGATCCCGGAGTCTTGTCTCCACGAACTTGACACTCTTACGATCCTCCGAGAGGACTAGGTTAGGATGAGCCGTCTCAGGATCCAGGGTCACATCCGCTGGCGGGAGAAGCCAGAGTGGGGAGCTAGATGAGGATGGGAATAGCTAAACGCCCCTGCCTCACTTTTCCAGCCTGCCTTGACAGAGCCTGGCCCCTTAAAGGTCCCCAGAACAACATGGTTTATTAACTTTCTCAATCCATGGTGTCACCTAAGGGAGGGGAGAAAGCAATGGCTCACTTCTCACACTGACCCTAAAGCAAACAGATAATCTCTTGACTCTGCAGGGGCTGGTAATCTAGGTTCTCGCCTGGTCCTCTCTTCATCTCCCTCTGATATCATCATTTATTTTACTATGTAGACAAGTACAAGGTACAGCCTGAGGGCCAGAAAAAATGGAAAGTGTTAAGAAGAATGCAGAGCAAGACAGCATATGGCCTAGGGATAGAGTGACCATGTGTCTGTTTTCTGAGAACTGGCCTCGTTTATGACTTTATGGCTATTTTTCCCTGCATATTAACATTAATATAATGATACTCCCTTTCACTTTTTTTTTGAGATGGAGTCTCGCTCTGTCCCCCTGGCTGGAGTGCAGTGGCATAATCTCAGCTCACTGCAACCTCTACTTCCTGGGTTCAAGCAGTTCTGCTTCAGCCTCCAGAGTAGCTGGGATTACATGTGCATGTCACCACACCTGGCTAGTTTTTGTATTTTTAGTAGAGATAGGGTTTCATCAAGTTGGCCAGGCTGATCTTGAACTCTTGACCTCAGGTAATCCTCCAGCCTTGGCCTCCCAAAGTGCTATGATTACAGGTGTGAGCCACCCAGCCTTTCAAGGTTATGCAAGTTTACAGGATAAATTATATAATCATGCTACCCGATGCCTTTGGCAAATTATTTAACCTTTCTGGGTCTCTATGTAGAAAAGTAGAGTAGATAAGAGTAGATAACACTTAAGGCTTCCTCTCACTCCAAGTTCTGTGACTCAGGGTGAGAGTAAAAGCCAGTTAAAGGGGTAGGTGTGGGTGGGAGCAAGAAAAGTGAGAGACGGGATAACTCAAACCCATATAAGGTAAGACCTAAAAGCTTTCTTCTCTCTAGTGGTTCCTTCTAGTTTCCTTTTGGTAACAACTCACCAATTAGCTGTTTAAGGATTTTCCTTAGGGCAAAGTACTGTCGGGGGAAATTGCTGAAGTTCTTTTCCAGCTCTATGGATACTGAAGTCACCTCCATGGTCTTCACCTTCTCACATCTAGGAAGGATAGGGAGACAGGGAAGAAAGGGTGGAGTCAGGGGGAAGCTCCAGCCAAGTGACTATTCAGATGTTAACGTCTTTAGGGAGTAAATGAAATTCTCTATATCTTCCCTCTTTCTTCCTCCTCCATGAAGAGCTCACCTTTTGCTTTCTTTTACGAATCCAAGGAGAGCCTTATGATCTTGTGGACAGATCCTACTTTTGAGAGTGAGCCTCAGAACTTTCTAAAAATATTCCTATATTTCATGCAAATGGATAATTGTCCTTCATGCTCTCTGAACTCCTTCTTCCTGCCATCTTGTTTGGACACAGTTCCACCCACTTGTATGGTAGAATCTGGTTCTGCCTTATCATTCTCCTTCTCAAGTAGTCCTGATGTTTACAGGGGAAAAGGGATGATTATTCCCAATAATTTGTTCTCTACCTGGCTTCATAGGGGCAATGAACCTTCTCCCATACCCTGCCCAGATGCTACATGACTTTCCCAATCTTACCCCTGACCCAAATGCCTGACTGTACCCCTCCTCTCTAAGTCAAGACCTAACTTACTCAAAGAGATACAACCATCACTTACTTTTCCAGGGTACTTTTGACATCCTAGAAGGAAGGAGAAAAGAAAGCAATATTGGTCCTGGTAGTCAATGGTCCTGAATGCCAAAGGTTCCCGTTCCTCCCCAAAGTTCCACAGCTACAAAATAGGCGTAGGATAAACTGAGGGTCACACAATGCAAGAAGAGCTCCAGAGGGACCTGAGTGTACTTCCAACCTAATCCCTACTTTCAATTTTCAATCATCATGAAACCTGCTCATTTATATCACTTCCCAATTATTTCTTTTATGTTTGTCTTTGCTCCTCAAGGGTGCTGGGAGCTCCCTACAGGAATCAGGGATTGTGTCAGTCTTTACTCTGTCCCCCAAGTACCAACCACATATCTCAGTCTCCTTGAGGATCGGTACAGAGAGTTCCAGACTGGTGGCATAGGAACAAATCACACATTCCTGTTACCGTTTGGCATCCCTTGTCTTGCATTAGTTAATAAACGTTAATAACTGGTCAGGCACAGTAGCTCATGCCTGTTATCCCAGCACTTTGGTAGACCAAGGCAGGTGGATCACTTGAGATCAGTAGTTCAAGACCAGCCTGGCCAACATTGTGAAACCCCATCTCTACAAAAAATAGAAAAATTAGCCGGGCATGGCGGCATGAACTTATAATCCCAGCTACCTGGGAGGCTGAGGCAGGAGAATCGCTTGAACCCAGGAGGTAAAGGTTGCAGACAGCCAAGATCATGCCACTGCACTCTAGCCTGGGCAACAGAGCAAGACTCCATCTCCAAAAAAAAAAAAAGGAACAATAAACATTAATAACTGTGTGCTAATACTGATTTGTGAATACTTGGGGTCCAGAAGACAAAGAAGACAAATCTCTGTCCCACAGGATTTCCCAGTTTAATGTGGAAAGCAGAACACACATACATGAAAGGACACAGGAATAAATACCAAGCAATACATAACATAAACGTACAATGAAGCCTCACTGATTGAAATGCTGGTAATCTAATCTCTAAGATTAAAAAATATGTTTCCTACAGTTTTGCTAACACCATTTATTTAAGAGAACAAACTATTTCAAACACTTTAGAGGTATTATTAGTATTTACATATCAAAAGCAAATTATTATTTATACATAATTTCAGGCTACCTCATTTTATTGCACTTTGCTTTCCTGTGTTTTGTTGACACTGTGTGTTTTTCAACTGGAAGGTTGGTGGCAACCTGTGTCGAGCAAGTCTACTGGCACCGTTTTTTCCAACAGCATATGTTCACTTCATGTCTCTGTCACATTTTGATAATTCTCACAATATTTCACACTTTTTCATGATTATATCTAGTATGAGCTGTGATCAGTGATCTTTGATGTTACTACTGTAATTGTTTTGGGGCACTTATATGAACTGCATTCATATAAGATGAAAAACTTAATTGATAAATATGTTAAATATTTTATGTATTCTAACTGATCTACCACCAGCCATTCCCTTATCTTTCTCCGTCTCCTCTGGCCTCCCTATTCCCTGAGACATAACAATATTAAAATTACACCAATTAATAATCCTACAATAGCCTCTAAGTGTTCAAGTGATAGAAGAGTCGTATGTCTCTCACTTTAAATCAACACCTAGAGATGTTTAAGCTCAGTGAGGAAGGCATGTTGAAAGCCAAGATGGGCTGAAAGATAGGCCTCTTGTGCCAAACAGCAAGCCAGGCTGTGAATGCTAACGAAGTTATTGAAGAAAATTAAAAGTGCTACTTCAGTGAACACATGAATGATAAGAAAGTGAAACAGCTTTATTGCTGAGATGGAGAAAATTTTAGTGATCTAGATATAAGATCATTCCTTTAAGCCAAAGCCCAATCCAGAGCAAGGCTCTACCTCTCTTCAGTTCTATGAAAGCTGAGAGAGGTAAGGAAGCTGCAGAAGAAAAGTTTAAAGTTAGGTAGGTTGGTTTAAGAGAAAAAACCATCTCTGTAACAAAAAAGTGCAAGGAGAAGCAAGTGCTGATGCAGAAGCTGCAGTAAGTTATCCAGAAGATCTTGCTGAGATTATTATCCAGAGATTATTATGAAGAGATTATAATTATCCAGATATTACTGATGAAGGTGGCTACACTAAACAACACATTTTCAATGTAAACAAAACAGCCTTCTATTCAAGAAGATACTATCTAGGGCTTTAAGAGAGAGAGAAGTCAATGCCTGGCTGCAAAGCTTCAAAGGACAGGATGGCTCTATTATTAGAAGGCAGCTGGTGACTTTAAGTTGAAACCAATGCTCACTTACCATTTCAAAAATCCTAGGTCTCTTAAGAATTATGCTAAATCTACGTTCCCTGTGCTCTAGAAATGGAACAACAAAGCCTCCATGACAGCACATCTGTTTACAGCATGGTATACTGAATATTTTTAATTAAAAAAAATTACTTTTTGTAGAGATGGGGTGGCACTATATTGCCCAGACTGGTCTTGAATTCCTGGGCTTAAGCAATCCTCTCACCTTGGGCTCCCAGAGTGCTGGGATTACAGGTGTGAGCTAATGTGCCTAGTATTTACTGGAAATTTTTTTTGGGGGGGCAGAGTTCCGCTCTTGTCACCCAGGAGGGAGTGCAGTCGCATGATCTCGGCACACTGCAACCTCCACCTTCTGGGTTCAAGCGATTCTCCTGCCTCAGCCTCCCAAGTAGCTGGGATCACAGGCACCCACAATCATGCCCAGCTAATTTTTTTTTTTTTTGATAAAGAGTTTTGCTCTTGTTGCCCAGGCTGGAGTGCAATGGTGCAATCTTGGCTCACTGCAACCTCCACCTCCTGCGTTCAAGTGATTCTCCTGTCTCAGCTTCCCGAGTAGCTGGGATTACAGGCATGTGCCGCCATGCCCGGCTAATTTTTTTTTGTATTTTCAGTAGAGACAGGGTTTCTCCATGTTGGTCAGGCTGTTCTCGAACTCCCAACCTCAGGTGATCCACCTGCCTTGGCCTCCCAAAGTGCTGGGATTACAGGCATAAGCCACTGCACCTGGCCTAATTTTTGTATTTTTAGTAGAGATGGGGTTTCACCATCTTGGCCAGGCTCAACTCACACTCCTGACCTCAGGCGATCCACCTGCCTCGGCCTCCCAGGGTGCTGGGATTACAGGCATAAGCCACCATGCCTGTCCCTTTACTGAAAATTTTAAGTTGAGACCTACTGCTCAGAGAAAAGATTTCTTTCAAAATAGTACTGCTCATTGACAATGCACCTGATCACCCAAAAGTTCTGATAGAGATGTAAAATGAGATTCATGTTGTTTTCACATCTGCTAACACAGCATCCAGTCGGCAGCCCATGGGTCAAGGAGTAATTTTGACTTTCAAGTCTTACTTAATAAATATACTTCATTAAGCTGCCATAAATAGTGATTTTTCTGATAGATCTGGGCAAAGTAAATTGAAGACTTTCTGGTAAGGATTCATCATTCTAGATGCCATTAAGAACATTTGTATTTGTGTAAGGAGGCCAAAATATCAGTATCAACAGGCATTTAGAAGTCTATTCCAACCCTCATGGATGACTTTTAGGGACTTCAGTGGAGTAAGTAACTACAGATGTGGGTTTTCAAAGATTTTCAAAGAAGTTCTACTGTGAGTAATACGCTACTTAACAGCATCACATGCTCAGAGATATCTTTCATAAAAGGAAGAGTCAAAAGTAAACTTTGTTGTCTTATTTTAAGAAATTACCACAGCCACCCCAATCTTCAGCAACCACCATCTTGATCAGTCAATATTGACGCAAGACCATCCACCATCAAAAAGATTACGATTCCACTAGGAAACCCAACAAATTAATGTGACTTGCTTTATCAAGATAATCACTTTATTGAAGTGGTCTGGAACTGAACCCACAGTATCTCTGAGGTATGCCTGTATCCTTTAAACTATGTTTCTGTTCTTTTTCAGCACTACATAAAAAAAATTTCAGGACTTAAAAGTAATGGTAACTGCATTTACAAAATCTTTAAAATAGGTTTTCACTAATTCAGACTAGACTTCCCTCCTTTCAAAAGAGTGAATTTTTTCTTTAGAACAGATTAAGCACATAATTGCTGACAAAACATAAAAACACAAAAATGATTAGAAGGGGATGGGAGAAATCAGATCAGCTTTTCTGTAGCAAAAATCCTTTGAGTATACCTAGAAGAACTGGATTTAGGGAAGCAGAGCAGAAGAATGAGCATCCCAGGCTGACAGAACGCCTTCTGCAAAGCTACACTGCCCTTGACCTGAGGGGCTAGGCAGGGGCAAAGGTCGAACCTTAAGCATCTCGAAGCCCGACTGTAAGCACTTGCCCTCCACCTCAGCAGCCAAGTGGGCCAGGTCCCGGCGCTTGTCCCCAAGGTGAGCAGCATTTTCTCGGAGTCGCTGCAGAATGTCCTGTTCTTCTTCTTCTAGTCGTGAAAGCAACACCTGCTGCTCTTCATCCAGCCGCCTATGAAGCTCTTCAAACTCTCTTAAGATCTGCTGTCGGCGACTTTCCACTAGTCTCTGAAAAAAGAGGGAAGATGTTGTATCAGCAGGGTCAGTGGGTTATAAGGAAGCCTTTCTCTCACCCACCATATGTATGAATTAACAGAGACTTCCAGTTTCATTGGAAATGGTTTAACAAAGGCTGGGTGTGGTGACGCATGTCTGTAATTCCAGGACGTTGGGAGGCTGAGGCAGGTAGATTGCTTGAGCTCAGGAGTTCGAGACCAGCTTAGGCAACGTGGTAAAACTCTAACTCTACAAAAAATAGAAAAATTAGCTGGGTGTGGTGGTGCATTCCTGTAGTCTCAGCTATTGGAGAGGCTGAGGTGGGATGATGGCTTGAGCCCAGAAGGCAAAGGTTGCAGTGAGCTGAGATTATTGCACCATTGTACTCCAGCCTGGGCAACAGATAGAGACCTTGTCTAATAAATAAATAAATAAATAAAAAAGGTTTAACAGAACACTCATTTTCTGCTTCACTTGGAATTTCCTTCTGTAAAGAATGGCTCCATCAGTCATCACCCCCCACTGATGACTTGGTAGTGACCATTAGGGATACATATGTATTTTTAATTTAAGATAAAAAACTCAATGATATGACATTCATTATTACAGATAACAGAGATAGCTGTGTTACTACCAACTGTAAAGTTCTAGTTAATTCAATCTGTCAAGAAAAGGAAAGTACAGGCTCATGCCTGTTAACTTAGTGCTTAGGAAGCCCAGGTGAGAGGATGACTGGAGGCCAAGAGTCCTGAGACCAACCTGGGCAACATGATGAGACCTTGTCTGAACTAAAAAGAAAAAAAAAATTAGGTGGGTGTGGTAATGCACACCTGCAGTCTTAGCTACTCAAAGGGCTGACACAAGAGGATGGATGGCTTGAATCCTAGAGTTCAAGTTAGTGTACTATGATCACCACTGTGCTCCAGCCTGGGTGAGTGAGATTCTGTTTCAAAACAAACAAACAATCAACAAAAACAACACAATGAAAAGTACAAATATTAAAAGTTAAAAGTTGTTCATTCTTTGCATATTGTAACACATCCACCAGATAAAAACCAGAGAACCAACTGGGAAAGTATAAGAATCAGTTAAGAGTTTAATAATGGGCTGAATGCGGTGGCTCACACCTGTAATCCCAGCACTTTGGGAGGCCGAGGCAGGTGGTCAAGAGATCGAGACCATCCTGGTCAACATAGTGAAACACCGCCTCTACTAAAAATACAAAAAATTAGCTGGGCATGGTGGCGTGTGCCTGTAATCCCAGCTACTCAGGAGGCTGAGGCAGGAGAATTGCCTGAACCCAGGAGGCAGAGGTTGCGGTGAGCCGAGATCTGCGCCATTGCACTCCAGCCTGGCTGGGTAACAAGAGCAAAACTCCTTCTCAAAAACAAAAAAAAAAACAAAACAAAACAAAACAAAGAGTTTAATAATGGGTTGTTACAAAATATACATAGGTAGATTTCAGGGCTGAACTTGTTAAATTGTTTCAAGTCACTTCAGAGAACTGGCAATTCCTAGCCCAGGAACAGGTTCCAGAGGTTTATTAGTAATTAGCTGCTTGAAATTTGAAACATAATTTCTTTAAGCCAGCACATAGACTGAAGCCTCTAGCATTCCTGAAATCTGATAATATAGGACTCAAACACCAGCCATAACACTTTCTGGGAATTATCAGTGTATCTTCTCTTCTGCATCTCCACTAAAATAAATAGTGATCTTCCCAAAGAACGATTCCTCAAGCATCATGTGACTAATAATGAAGCAAAGTGAGCAGGAGAGGGTGGCACTCTAGAAGTGGATACAGAACGAAAGTTGAAGAGGGTGAAGAGAGAGTGAGGATGCGAAGCCAGGATGGGGATGACAAGCATGGCATTTGTGGATTCAAGCTAGTTCCTAGCAGAGGCTGAGTAGCTCTTTCTAGTTCAGGGCCACTTCACTTTCCACTGCTGCCTTCTCAGTGCCAATCCGAACAAAGTATATTCTCAGAGTTGCCCTCAATAAAACACAGCGTTTTTGTGTATGTGAGTGCATGAGTACATAAGTGTGCATGTGTGTTTGTTTAGGGGTGATGTATGGGTGTAAGTTTAACATTCATGACTGTGATAAATAGGAAGCAAAAAGGCTCTTCCTCTTATAAACCCATAATCTTTTTTTTTTTTTTTCACTATGTTTGTAGGGCAATGGTTCTTTTTTTTTTTTTTTTTTTTTTTGAGACGGAGTTTTGCTCTTGTTACCCAGGCTGGAGTGCAATGGCGCAATCTCAGCTCACCGCAACCTCCGCCTCCTGGGTTCAGGCAATTCTCCTGCCTCAGCCTCCTGAGTAGCTGGGATTACAGGCACGCGCCACCACGCCCAGCTAATTTTTTTTTGTATTTTTTTTTTTAGTAGAGACGGGGTTTCACCATGTTGACCAGGATGGTCTCGATCTCTTGACCTCGTGATCCACCCGCCTTGGCCTCCCAAAGTGCTGGGATTACAGGTGTGAGCCACCGCGCCCGGCCCAGGGCAATGGTTCTTAATGAAGGTGTTACCTCCCTCTGAAAATATTTTGAAAATGGACACATATTCTTGTTTTCCACGTTTGGGGGAGTTCCTGACAAGGATGCTAGCACACCTCCAATGTGTGAGAAAACCCGGCACAGTGAATTCACCTGTAACATTTTCTAACGTTCTGCTGGATATTAAAAAACATAGGCCTGGGCTTGAATGCCATTTTATATTGTATAAACACAGAGTAATTCTTACATGGTTTTACTAGACATGAATTTTTTAGCAATAGCTGAAAAAAACTCAAAATTGTATTTTGTTTTACTTAGAATTTTACCAAAAGTTATTATTATAAAAAATCATATCACCAACAGCTAAGCTACTTATGGTATTTCAATCACATTGACACATATCATCTCAGTCTGAATTTGTATTTATTGTATTGCTGACTGACACATATAGGTGCGAGCATATAACTGGCTACACTGTAAACTACTCTTTCAGGGTAGTCATGCCCAAGTATTACATACCATATTTTATCATCAATTATGTTTCATTATATGTTATATTATATTGGGACATGATAAGACTCTTCAAAATTTAAAATTACATATACAGGTTACCTGTAATTTTCAGTTAGCATAATTACAAATGATTTTTATAAGGGGCATTGAGTCTGATAAGGGAGGAGAGAGAATTCAGATGGTTACAAGAGGAATGCTGGTGGTAGTTTCAGAGGCCACTGAAATGACAATTTACAATTTAAAAACCACTACACGTTCTGTTCAAACACTTAAAAGGTTTTAAAAAGGTGTATTTCCCTCTGTATCCTTTACCTTCAAGAAGGTGATCAACATGAAAAAGAGAGTGAATGACTAGTAATAAGCCCTATTTTCATATTTTTAGGTTTCTCAGAAGGCCTTTTAAAAGAACAAAAACCTTTTTTAACAGTTCACCTTTGTAACCAAAATTGGTTCAAATTTTAAAAAATCCAAATGCTTACTTTGGTAAAATGTATAAAGCATTAAGGTAATAGTATTTGCTTTCTGATGAAATGTTGTCATTCATTTAAATATTTGTGTTTCTACAAATTAAAACTGGTATTTAATTTCTGGCGATCCCTAAATGTCCATCTTAAAAACTCGTTACTTCGGCCGGGCGCGGTGGCTCAAGCCTGTAATCCCAGCACTTTGGGAGGCCGAGGCGGGTGGATCACAAGGTCGAGAGATCGAGACCATCCTGTTCAACATGGTGAAACCCCGTCTCTACTAAAAATACAAAAAATTAGCTGGGCATGGTGGTGCGTGCCTGTAATCCCAGCTACTCAGGAGGCTGGGGCAGGAGAATTGCCTGAACCCAGGAGGCGGAGGTTGCGGTGAGCCGAGATCGCACCATTGCACTCCAGCCTGGGTAACAAGAGCGAAACTCCGTCTCAAAAAAAAAAAAAAAAACTCGTTACTTCTTCGGGAAACCTTTAATGAGGCCAAATTTTTATGTTATCTTCTTATGAACTTGCAGCTGTGCTTTTTGTGCCATTACCTATTTTCTCCATTAACTTTAAGCTCAAGGAGGGCAGGAACTGTGTTTTTGCTCATCATTGTTCCTCAGTGTCAAGTACAGGGTTCGGCCTAAACCAGGAGCTTAACAAATATTTACTGATTCATGAAGAACTAGTATTCCTGAGTTTTCCACTTCCTGGCTTTATGATCTTGGACTAGCCGCTTATCCAAAGTCCATTTCCTTCTGTGTAAGCTGAAGGTAATAATACCTACCTTAAAGAATATCTAAATTTACCCCTACATTTTACAAAGATGATCTCAGGATTTCCTTCTTTTTGCCCTTTTCGTAGCTTTTCTGTGACTCACTTACCCAATTTGGCCTGAACTCTTAAGATGCTAACAACCCTATAAATCTGGATTATCATGGATACTTTAGGAATTAATGCACAGAACTCAATTCTAGTTATTATTTTTGCTACAAGTGATAATTGTTCACCGTTCAATCGAAGAAAAAAGACAGATAGCGAAATACCATGCTACAAATAAGGCAATGCTATAAAAGAGGTGCCAAACTGTATGAAAATTAAGAAAGTTAATTTCTGAAGGGTCAGGAAAGGCTCCATAGGAAGTGGTTTTCATTGCATCAGAGAGATGAATAAGATCCTGTGGCGGAGGATGGAGAGGGGAAGAACATTCTAGGATGGAATCAACATCATCTAGCTTACTTGAGTTATAAGAATGTGGTCCTAATGACATTGGATAGTTCTTCTGAGATTCTTGGTCAGCTTCTTTTCCCTTTCTCCCCAGTGAATCCTCCAAATTCTCCTCTCTTCAATTCCTCTAAGAAATTCCCATCCCTGCCTTCTCAGCACAGAGCCTGCTCTGCTGCTTTAAAAAAGGAGACCAAGAGACACGAACTCTCTCAGCTAACCAGATGTAAGATATTCTGTCTGTTCTTCTCCCTTAAATCCCTCTTAATGCTTAATTCATGACAAGTAATTTAAGTACAATCTTTAATGACAATCAAGCCTAATAAAATACCATCATTTTTGAGAGAACTACATTTTTCTTTCCTTTTTTGTTGGAGACAGAGTCTCGCTCTGTTGCCCAGGCTGGAGTGTAGGTGCAATCTTGGCTCACTGCAACTTCCACCTCCCAGGTTCAAGCAATTCTCCTGCCTCGGCCTCCTGAGTAGCTGGGACTACAGGTGCACACCACCACACCCAGCTAAATTTTTTTTGTATTGTAGTAGAGATGAGATTTACCACATTGCCCAGGGTAGTCTCAAACTCCTGAGCTCAATCTGCCCACCCTTGGCCTCCAGAATTGTTGAAATTACAGGTATGAGCCACCATGCCCTGCTGAGAACTGCATTTTTCTTTTCTTTTCTTTTCTTTTTTTCCAGTACATGTTCTCATCTAAGGGAACTGTATTTTTCTAATGAACCAGAACTGTGGATTAAATTATATATAGTTAATTCCCTCAGAGGCAATACCCTTCAGAGCAGCCTACATGGGATTGCCTGCCTTTACCTTGAGCTCAGTAGGCTTCTTCTCCTCAGAGGACTTGCAGCGAGTGATCTCCTGCAGCTTTTGTTCCAAGGGCTCCAGACACTTCTGCAGTTTTTCCTGAAGGGTAGGGAGGAAGTGGGAGTGGTGACATTTGGGGTGGACTGGTAAATCTATCATTCAGAGATTAAACCATTTGTTTTAAACCATTTATTTGCTTCCTAGCCACCTGACTGCCTCTTGATCTGACTTCTTTTCTTACCTATAATTTGGGAGGTCAACTTCCTACAGTCCCTCTTCCTGCCACCAGCCTGTCCACATCACCTTCTCTGTTCACCCAACTATCCTCTTATGGAATCTGAGATAGTTGTCACCAACTCTGTGTCTTTCCTCAAATCTTTTCATTTTTTTACTGAGGCAACTGCCTATTACCATCAAAGCAACCTTCTGTACCCTAATACCTTTCTTTAAACCTGTCTTCCCATCCACCTCTATCCACCTAAAATAAAAACTTACTATACTGTAAGTAACCTGAAATCTTACTTTCAAGACTAAAATAATTAAGCAAAGTACAGATAAAACGCTAACACATTAATATCTCGTTTCCTTTATTTAAACATTTTCCTGTGTCTCAGCAGTAAATTAAATGGTATGCCATGTTACCGATTACCTGTAGAAGCTGCAAACAACAGAATGGTTCAGCTTAGTCTGGTGAGTATCAGTCTAAAGTGACAGCACCTATTCCCAATACCAGTGTGAAAACAAGGAGCATTCTGAGCAGACAGGCAGAATGAAAACCAGACTACTTTTCAGTTCTTCCTAAGTTTAATCTTCTCCATGGAGTTTCATTCATTTACGAAAATTATGATATTTTCCAAGACCACACATACCAATATTCACCCATAAGACTCATGTATTGCAAAAGTCAGAGAGAAATTTTAGGGCAATTCTCACCATCGTCCTTTTTCAAGCTAGAGGACAACTCATCACACATACTGTGTGCCCCTGTGCATGCAGCTCTGAGGGGAATACAGAGTGAGTAGTAGGAGCTTACAATCTCTACATAGGGAGTATCTCATCCTCTGCGGTCCTTCCTTTTTACCCACATTGACATCACGTGTCTGGTTCCCCACCTTGTACTCCTGTGTAGCGTCGTCCAGTGGCACAACGGTGTGGGCCCGGTGGGTGTGGGAAATTGCACATATCAAGCATACAGCCTCCTGGTCCTCATAACAGAAAAGGCTAAGGGCTTCATGGTGTTGGGGGCAGAGGCTCTCATCCCGGATCTTCCGCTTGACGGCCTGCAGCTGCTTGGCAATTTCTACCATACTGCCTAGTTGCCGATTAGGCCGGAGACTGCGGTAGCGCGATGTCTTTCGACAGACAGGACAAGGAAAGTCCCTCTCTAGGTCCTCCCACCAGCGGGTGATGCAAGCTTTGCAGAAGTTGTGCCCACACTCAATGATGACAGGCTCCTTCAGATATTCCAGGCACACAGAGCAGCTTGCCTCCACCTGTAAGTTCTCCAAAGCTGCAGCTGTGGAGGCTGCAGAGGCCCCAGCCTCTAACAGACTTGTCTCTGCCATAATTTAACTTGGGGGTAGGGAAGGAGACAGAGAAAATAAAAATGTTAATTGAACGTTTTATTGATTTATTTTTGCATCCCTGGCCTGACATTTACCCCTATGTTAAGTCCTAACTCCAGATTTTTGCCCTATCTTGTTATTCTCCATCTTCTCTTCCAATCAATTCAACCTCTTTGTTTCTCCATTTCCAAAACTTGTGACTCCCAATGATCAACCTTTTTTTTGTTAGTAAACTGACACCCAATCCCCAATCTATCTTGTCTCTTACCTCTGCTTTCTCGTTAGAAAGAGAAGCTTTCTTCAACTCTAGCTCAGCATACTTCTTCTGATCCAGGCTCATTCCACTTGTATCTTAGAACCAATAGTTCCAGATCACTGTATCCTAGTTTGGCATGTGCTTCTAATAGACAAGAAAGGAATTTGGGGAGTAAAAAAGTCAGAAAAATATTAACATTTCTTATATTAGTCATATTTTAATGTTATAAGAGCTTTATGATAAGTCACTGGAGTCTAAACTTGATTCTCTGACGATATGCAACCTTTTGGCTTCCTCGGGCCCACTGGAAGAAGAGGTGTCTTGGGCCAGACATAAAATACATTGACACTAATGATAGCTGATGAGCTTAAAAAAAAAGTCTGGGCATAATTTTTGTTCTGTCAGTCACCGCGGATAAGCAAAAGAGTCATCGAATTCAAAGGGTTAGATAACACTGTTCTAAAATGTAATAAATGGAATGAATGAGGCAAAGGTGACAACCTCTTTTCAGGAAAATCTGAAATTGTTCTTCCTTTTATCAGACTAGCCTAAAGGAAGTATGCCCTCTTCTTGGAATGAAATGTTTCATGCAACATTCCAATTCTATTGTGTGCGTTTGGACACTTAGAACTGCTGAAAACTGATAAATTATGGCAACTACATTAAGGAGTACATTACTAAGCCCAGGCCAACAACTTCTTGAAAAGAGAGCAGTATGTCTATTTGTAGTGATAACTAATGCCTGGGCATACTGTATCATATAGCTATTGATAACTAATGCCTGGACATAATAGGTTCTGAAGTGGTTGGGAATTAAGAGGCAGAAGAGAGGCAATCAGATCTCCCTCAAGTGCAGCCTCAGAAGAACTGGAAATACATCAGATTTATGAAACAGAAGGTTGGTCCCCCAATCCATCCTTAAAACGTCGATACTTTTCGCCATAGGTAAGTTGATTTATCTATTCCCATAACCCTTTCTCCCCGACCCCCATCCTTAACCAGGGACCTAATGGAAGGAAGGAAATTTGGTAGATCTATGTGCTGAGAGATTAAGTGGCCATGTAATGAGGTGGGTTAACAACAACTGTTCCTGTATATGTGGTTGGCACACACAAATGTGTTTGGTTTGGAGTAGGAGCTGATAACTTCTTTGGACTTGAATTTCTTCTGTCAGCAATAGGAGAGAAGTTCAGTCAGATGACTGTTCTTTACCTGTGGGAATTCAACTTTGACTAGTGGTGACCCTACCCCTTCCTCAGTCTTTCACAAATTAGGTGGCCTCCTCACCTGAGTAGAACTGCATGCACAGTAAGGCAGCAGGACGGATCTAGACTGGCAAAGAAGTGGTGAGGGAAATGGGGAAAGGGTTAGGGAGGGATGGCGAGGACTTGGAGCTATAGCCATAGTGAGACCTTGAGTGCCTCTGGGTTGGTCCTTCCTCTCCATCTACTCCTTGTGTCTCAGCTGAAGGGCAAACTTCAGGGACATACTCATTTTGTTTCCACCACTGTTCAGGGTGTCCCACCTTGCGACCCTCTCCTGAGCGGGTGTCCACAACTCTGTCCCACCCCCATCTCCACCTTCTTCCGCCAGATCTGGGGCAGGGGGATTAGAGAGGGGAAAGAGGAGCGTCGTGGTTGACAGGGCAGGGAGGGATGCGTGTCCAGGTGAGGAAGAGGTATGACGTGAAGGTGGGATGCCCAACGCTATGACGCAGCCGAGACCCGCGGTGACTGCGTCAGTGTCACCCGGGGAGGTGAGCGGCAGCGGGACGGGGGAACGGCGGGGTAGCCAAGCAACGCCGGACGCGCTGACGTCGCCGGGGCGGCAAAACGTCCGCCCGGGCCCGAGGCGGGCGGAGGCAGCTGCGGTTACGTGCAGGGGGCCGGTGACGCAGTCGCGGGGCGCTGGGACGCGGCGTGCGGAGCCGGCCGGCGGGGGCAGGCCCCAGGCCCGGGCGCGGCGGCGGGACAGCACCTACCTTCCCGGCTTCGGGTCCGGGAGTGCGGGGCGCGGAGCCGCCGGAGCGCTGCCTCCCTCCTTCCTCCTCCCCTCGCCCCCGCCCGCGGCGCGACACACAATACTCGCCGGAAGCGGAAGCCGCACCGAGGCTCGTGTCAGCGGCACCCAGGGTGTCGGCGGGCGGTCGCGGCCGGGTCTAGAGGTGCCTGCGGAAGAAGAAGAAAGAGGCCTGGCGATGAGAACCAGCGGGAGGCGTCAAGGGCGAGAAGGGACCCGGAGGGGCAGGTGGCCGAGATGCCGGCGTCCAGGTGACCCGAGGAAGCCTCTGCAGAAGCAGGCCCGCGCATGCGCGCGCTCGGGCGCTGAAGCCCATTGCCCGCAGGGCGCTGGTGGACGCCCCGGCCGGCGAGCCTGCCTCGTCCCGGCTCCAGGCCCCGACGCCGGCCAGGCGCCGCCGCTCCCGGTGCAGCCGGGAGTCGCTGAGGAGGGCGGGGCGGGGGCGGCTTGTGGACTTCCACACTTTTCCTGTCTTCGGGCCAGTCCGGTGAGAGGGTGGCTAGCTGCGGCGGCGGCCAATTACGTGGCGGACCTGCGGGGCTCAGCTGGCACGTCACTTCCGACTAGGGGAGCTTTGGCCTTTTAACATTCAGGGATTAGGTAAGTTCTCCCCTGCGGTAGACTCCAAATGCTCTTTGTCCTGCTCCTGCTTGGCGAAATTTACCAAAATTACCCACCCCGCTGGAGTGGGAGCCGGGAGAGAGCGGGAACCGCGACTGTACTGCTCACCTTTGTGTCCTTAGCTCTTTCGCACTGGGTCCGACCGCAGCACGTGCGCTGGATAAACGCTGGTTAACCGGGTGAGAGCCAAGGTCTGTTCTTGCTATTCTGGGGCTGTGACTTGACTTTCTCGGCAGGTGCAGATAGTGTTTGTGTAGGGACTGCGGACTTTCGTATTGTAGCCTCCCTGTTTTGCTCGCCTGCTGCTGGAAGCTTACCAGATCTGTGATTTTGGTGGAAGTGGGTGAGGTGATGAGGCCGGGGAAGAGGTGATGGGGCTGGGGAGGGGTTAGTACTGGGTAGAGGTGTGAAGGCGCTGAGGAGGAGGAGTTAGTGATAGGAGGGGTGTGACCCGGCTGGTAGAAAAGATAGCTAGCTCCGCCTCCTCGCCCCCAACACTAGTCATGCAGAATGTGGATTGAAAGAAGTGAGCAAATTTTGATGTACTCGGCTTGGTGAGAAAGTGCCCTAGTTTCCAGTGTAAGTTGTGCTGCTGTTTACAAACACCTTGCATTATTTAACCTCTCATCTTGGGAGCCAGAAACTGTTTAGTTGCAGAGAATATGATTCAATGTCCGAGGTATCTATCGCACATGCTAATTACAGGAGTCTACTTTTTCTTTACTGTTCCTTTTTATTTGGTGCCAACAATTGAAGAAGATTAAATTTGAGAAAATTACATTTGACACCTTTTTCCGCATTGCTATATGGCCGTTAGGGATTTTAGCAGCAGTGCTTGTTCCAATTCACAAGATGCCTCACTTGTAAGGGAGTTTGAAAGCCACTAACTGGGCATTGAGCCTCCTTAGCCGTGGCTCCAGAGGGATAGTGATTATGGTCAGATTTGGTTTTGATTTGTTAATTTGCTGGCGCTTAAGATGTTGATAGCCCTCCTTTCTGGCTTTCAGTTTGTAGATAACCAGGAATGTGATTAGACTAAGGAAATTAACAAGAAATTAACAAGAGAAAGTCCAATTCTTCTCTCCCTTTCCCTTTCTCTTTCCCTTTTAGACGGAATCTCGTTGTGTTGCCCTGGCTGGAGTGCAGTGGCTTGACCTCGGCTCGCTGCAATCTCCACCTCCCGGGTTTAAGCGATTCTCTGCCTCAGCCTCCTGAGTAGCTGGGATTACAGGCGCTTGCCCCCACATCCGGCTAATTTTTGTATTTTTAGTTGAGACGGGGTTTCACTGTCTTGTCCAGGCTGGTCTTGAACTCCTGACCTCGTGATCCACCCGCCTCGCCCTCCCAAAATGTTGGGATTATAGGCGTGAGCCACCGCGCCCTGCTGATTCTAAGGATTATGAAGAATGTGCTTGCCTAGAGACTGATATTAAGGGGATTTTATGCTGAATATGGAAGGAAAAATGGGAAAATGTCTAGGTAAAACTATAAAATTATAAAGTGCAAGTAGTATGACATGTAACAGGGCTTGCTGTAGAGAAACAGAGAGGACATCTTTTTGGCTTTGTGGTCCATACTTTCTTCTTGCAGACAATACTAAATGTAGGCCAGACGCCGTGGCTCACGCCTGTAATCCTAGGACTTTGGGAGGCTGAGGTGGGCAGATCACCTGAGGTCAGGAGTTTGAGACCTAGCCTGGCCAACACAGTGAAGCCCTGTCTCTAGTAAAAATACAAAACTCAGCCGGGTGTGTGGCACGCACCTGTAATCCCAGCTGATGGGGATGCTCAGGCAGGAGAATTGCTTCAGGACAGGAGGCAGAGGTTGCAGTGAGCCGAGATCGTGCCACTGCACGGCAGCCTGGACGACAGAGCCAGACTCCGACTCCAAAAACAAACAAAAGCTAAATGAGCATGGCTGTATTCCAATAAAACTTTATTATGGATGCTCAAATTTGAATTTCATAACGTTTTCAAATGTCATAAAATATTCCCTTGGATTCTGACCCTCCCTCCCCAATCATTTAAAAAATGTAAAAACGGTTCTTAGCTTTTGAGTCATACCAACACAAATAGCTGACTGTAATTTGCCAGCTCCTGACAGGATAGTGAAGTGCTCAGTATTTTTCAAAAGATAGTAAATGGGAAAGAGTGAAAACAATGTATAATATCTTATTTTCATCTGTCTATTTAATAATGATAATAAAGGGGATCTGAGCTCTTGACACATTTGTTGTTGGCTTTGAAAGTTGCCAAGATTTTTGAATGTGCTAGAGTCTAAGTATAGTCTTGAAACAAGAAAGGCTATTCCTTATTTAAAAAGAATTACAGTTCAAGAAGGGTGGAATAACACCGACTTTTGATGTTGGTTTATACCAAAGGATTTCCAACAAAGGAATATGCAAAAATGAAACTATAATAATGGGATGTAATTAAACAAATTTTAAACATACATTTTTAACATTGTTTTTGTATCAGTAAGGAAAAACAGAAGCAATCTTGAAATGACTGAGTCATGTAGAGCAAATGGGCATATGAGCAGTGTAGGTAGGAAACTGGTTGAGGTCAGATATGATGAGATGGAAGGGATAAGGGCGGGGTTTAACTGTCCAAGACTTGTGAGATACTTTCTTATGAGAAGGCAAAGTATCTAATCCCCCCTGCATTAAAAACATTTTTTTGTCATGAATAGTTTCAAACATAAAGGCAGTCTTCAGCTTGCTTTCTATACTTTATAATGGCTGTCTTTTATTGTTCCAGTTTGGTGATATAGAGCTACCTCATTCTTTTTCAAGTCTGCGTTAGTCATTTTGTAGACATGGAATTTATTCAACAATTTTGAGTAGACATTTAAGGTTCTTTCCACATCTTATTAAATGAAGTCTGCAGAGAGCATCCTTGCACATACATCTTTAGATTGTCATGCTATTATATTAGTAGGATAAATTCCTGGAAGTTGAGCTGCTGGGTTGGAAGGCATGGAAATCTAAAATTCTATTAGATTCTTCATGTTTCTGTAAGTGCCTGGCAAGGTGTCAGAGTCCTGGCACCAGGAAGTAGTTGACTCGCAGGTGGGTAAAATGAATTTACCATACGTACAAACAGTGTAGGTTTGAAAAAAGGAAAGTTTATTAGAAGGGAAGAACAGAAACTACTTTTGCAAAGTGAAAGAGACCTAACTTAACCTACTTCATCTTGCTTCTAACCTCCAAGCTGTTCTTGTTCATTCCTTGGCACAGGCTGAACTAACTTTGGGAGAAAAACTTAGTTATAGTTTAAACAAAGACTAACAGCCCTTTCCCAAAGCAGGCCTCCTTGCCTGGGGACTAGACTATAATATTAGCCACAAGATTAGAAATTAGGGTTTAGGAGTCATGCAGCTGGAGGCTCCAAGGTTCCCTCCCTAAACTGCTCCTATGATCCGTGCTTGAGGTATTTTTGCAGACCTGCACTTGATGGGTCAGCTGGCACTACCCAGATCAGTAAACTGGCTCATCTGATTTTTTTTTTTTTTTTTTTTTTTTTTTTTTTGAGACGGAGTCCTGCTCTTGTCACTCAGACTGGAGTGCAAAGGGCACGATCTCAGCTCACTGCAACCTCTACCTCCCAGGTTCAAGCAATTCCTCTGTGTCAGCCTCTCAAGTAGCTGAGAGTATAGGTGTGTGCCACCACCCCTGGCTAATTATTTTTTTTAATTTAAAAAAAATTTTTAGTAGAGACAGGGTTCACCGTGTTGGTCAGGCTGGTCTCCAACTCCTGACCTCAGGTGATCCACTTACCTTGGCCGCCAAAATGGCTCATCTGATCTTGTGCCCCCCCCCACCAGGAACTGACTCAGTGCTGGAAGACAGTTTTGCCTCCCTGTGATTGTGTCTCTGACCAATCAGCACTCCTGACCCACTGGCTTCCCATAGCACACCAAGTTACCTTTTAAAACTCTGCTCCCCAGTGCTGCTGGAGAGACTGATTTGAGTAATAAAACTCTGGTCATCCACACAGCAGGTTCTGCTTGAATTAGTTTTTCTCTAGTTTTTCACAATTCCCCTGTCTCAGTGAATTGACTCTGTGTAGGACAGCAGCCAAGATGAACCCCTTGGGCGGTTACAGAACGCTGCAGAAGAGTGCAGTGGGGTGCCTCAGCAAGAGGACAGAGTGTGCTGCTGTGGATTTTTCTTTAGGGGTATTTATAGATCTTAAAGTAGGAGCTTAGGGTTGTAAAATGAGTTTTGGCATGGCATTTCAGAGATGTATAGAATTTTAGTTACTTATAGAAGTTGAAAGAGGCCTGGAACCAGACTTTAGATGCTAGGAAAGTTTAATTACTTTTGAATTCCCGGAAAAGGAGTTTTGCCTGTTTGGTGGTCACCAGGTTGTCTTTGTCATCGAAATTCCTCAGATAAGGGGTTTTTGTCTCTGGGGCCTGTTCAGTGGTTACCAGGTGATTTTGCTCTCCTCAGTAAGGTTGTGCCTATTTCTATCCATACCAGCATATGATGAAATACAGTAGTTTCCCCCTTATCCTCGGTTTCATTTCTTAAGGTTTCAGTTACTTTTGGCAACCACAATCTGAAAATTTTAAGTGGAAAATTTCAGAAATAATTCCTAAGTTTTAAATTAAACACCGCACCATTCTGATGAGCATGATGAAATCTCCTGCTGTACCACTCCATCTGTCCCCAGCATTTGCATCATCCCTTTGCAAATCCACACTGTATATGCAGCCTGTCTGTTAGTCACTTAATAGCCTTCTTGGTTATCAGTTCTACTGCCTAAGTAACACAGTACTTATATTCATGGAACCCTTATTTTACATGACAGTGGCTGCAAAATGCAAGAGTACTAATGGTGGCAACTTGGATATACCAAAGAGAAGCCGTGAAGTGCTTCTATTAAGTGAAAAGGTGCCAGGCACGGTGGCTCATGCCTGTAATCCCAGGGAGGGCTGAGGCGGGTGGATCACGAGGTCAAGAGATCGAGACCATCCTGGTCAACATGGTGAAACCCCATCTCTACTAAAAATACAAAACATTAGCTGGGCATGGTGGCGGGTGCCTGTAATCCCGGCTACTCAGGAAGCTGGGGCAGGAGAATTGCTTGAACCCAGGAAGCGGAGGTTGCGGTGAGTCGAGATGGCACCATTGCACTCCAGCCTGGGTAACAAGAGTGAAACTCCGTCTCAAAAAAAAAAAAAA